AAGACACGGTCACCCAGATTTCCACCACGATCATGGATTTCCACCTCCCCCTCGTGACTTCGATCACCGTGGCCCGCCTGGATTTGGCCCTGGACACTTCGTCCCGCCTCCGTTTGGATTCCCAGGTCTGCACGGCCCTCCTCCATGCCCACCGGACTTCCCCATGGAATTTGGCCCTCGAGGAAATCCTGGATTTCGCGGACCTCGCGGCTATCACGGACCACGTGGCCATCACGGACGCCACGTGCGCTTTTCGGCCGATCAAGGGCAGCAAGAACCAGGCCGTCGTCGCCACGGACGTGGCCGCTGTGGCCGTGACTCTGACCTTGAGGCGCGTTTCCTTGAGGACGTGACAATCGAAGATGGTACCGTCGTGTCGGCCGCCCAGCCGTTGCGTAAGATGTGGAAGCTGGTTAACGACGGCGAGCGATCCTGGCCGGATGGCTGCTACATGATCACCCAGCCAGGTAACCCCATGTTCCCGGACGACAGAAAGTCGAGTCGTATCGATCTTCCTGCCTTGGCTCCTGGTGAGGAGTTTATCGCTGGAGTGGACCTGGTTGCCCCCACGGAGCCTGGACGCTACGCGAGTTTTTGGCGTGTGTGTGACCCCGCAGACGTGAGCTTCGGCCACCGTTTCTGGATTGACATTGTGGTTGCTGGAGGTGCCACATCTGAGCCGACTCCCTCCGATGCTTCGACGGCCGATAGCGCTGAAGACGAGATGAAGGACTCAGCTGAGGTTATCCCGTTGATTGATACTTCGTCAGATGATGATGTTGAGATTATTGAGGTAACTGAAGCAAAGGACGCTGAAGCAGATGATGTGGAGAGCGTTGAGTACAGTGGGGTTGTCGACAAGAACGATGTTTTCGAGGAGGGGCTGCTGCTGCTGCAAGCGATGGGTTTCGAGGATAAGGACAAGAATCTTCGTGCATTGGAGCTGTCAGATGGGAACGTCGGTGGCGCCGTCAACGTACTGCTGTCGGAGTAAGACGGTTGTACGTGGTTTCGAACCGACCCATGCGTATTGTGTATGCAGTGTTGCTAGGAAGCAATACTAGCCGATTGAGCAGATGCTATTCATTCGAGAAAATTTCAACAAACTTCCACGTGTCTAGCTCTTCTGTGGTAACAAGACCTGAGCGAACATGAAGCGCGCAATGAGGAGAAACTGAACCAGCGAACTTCTGTGTTCGTGTGCATGTCATAGGGACGGGAAAATAAACAGAAAACACGTTCATTCCCAGGAAAACTATAGTTTGCCTTCTTTATGCCTTCCA